TGTGTGTGTGTGTGTGTATATATATATATATATATATATATATATATAATTTTTTTTTTTACATTATAAATGCCACTTTTATCAATTAAGGGCATCCTTCCTGAATAAAAGTAATAATTTCTTTAAAACAAATATTTTTTATAAATATAAATTATTTTTGCATCAGATATAATAATAATAATAATAATATAGAAGTCTAGAATACATTTTAGAATTTATTTAAAAACTTAGCATCAATAAAAAATTATTTTAATAATAAAAATAATAGTATTAATAATAATATGGAAGTCTAGAATAAATGTTAGAATTTATTTAATAACCGAGCATCAATACATTTAATGCTGGTTATTTCCCCTCAATACTTGTGAGTTCTTGTTATGATTAGTGTATCATGTTGTTCACTGCTGTTGTAATGTTCATGAAAAAGCAGTGACCTTCTACTCGAGACATGACGGCGATTATACAGAATAATTATTTTCCCATGTTGGCTTCCTCATGTGACGCTGGAGCCTGTTGAACAGCGCTGCTTACTGTAACTTTCCAGAAAAAAGTGACTGCCTTTCTGTCTGGGATTACATCCACACTGTCCGCACCTCCAACCGCATGCTGATATTCAAACCGGGGTTACCAGCCAACCACGCAGTTCAGGGCAGCGTGTGACGCGTCAGTATCACGACGGACCACCGTGTTTTAAACCAGCACACAAGGGTCCATTGTGGGTGCTTAAACGCATCAGTGTCTGCTGGATGAACACGCACCTTGTGTTTTCCTCCGCAGGCCGGGAGAGACGCCGAGCGCTACGGGAAGCCCGCAGACAGCCGGGATGCCTGTGCCAGCGATGTCCCCCTCAAACTCCACACAGCCACTGAAAGGTGACATTTCCACGTCGGAAAATTTTTGCACACATGCAAATTAAAGATGCATGCTAAATAGAGGTCCTGTGTTGTGCTTTACAGTGGGAACGCGTCGAGGCCCGAGTCCAGCGGCCACACACCGCTCCACACGCAACTCCAGAAGTTCACCGTTTCTGCAGACAAGGTGCCTATTTATTACTTCACCATTACACAAGACTTACACAATCGCTTATGCTGCGAAAGACCCACTGCGTCCAGTCAGACAGAACAGGGAAGCTCTTCCCGCTTTACTGCGGCTCAGCTGAGAGATTGGACTCCTCCAGAATAAACTCATGAGAGGCTGATTGATGGGTCTTTGCTAACTGCATGAGGATCAGGTTGTGTGTGTGACTTCCAGGAATTGTTCTGTCTTGAAAACGCAGCCGGCGGCTTCTGAACCCAGTCTGGGCCGAGCAGCCAGCGGTTCA